TTTTCGAACGAATCTGTCGGGGGGGGGGACTTTTTGTGAGCCTCCGCCTGGCGGAGAATTTTCTTTGAATTGGGGCACTGCACCCCTAAAGACGAGTACACATTCCCTGTGTGTACGCGAACGCTTTGAACAGTTATACGCAACGTCATTTGGTGGACACAGTGCCAGTCCAAAATCTTTAAAAGTTTGAATGCAGGTTCCCAGGGCATTCACATAAATCATTACAAACCAGGCGTGTGGGTGTGGGATGGAGGGGTGGAGGTGGGATTAGAGGGTCGAAAAATTAGAAAAATAACAAAATTTCTAAAAGTAACATCCGTTTCAGACATGCAGGCGTTCTAGAGTCGCGCCGAACAAAATAGAATTAAGAGCGACTTGCAAGTGGGTCGACCCAGTTAAATTGTGGTTCAGACAGACGAACTTTAAACATGCATTTGCATTGGGTTCGGCTCGTGAAAAGAGCAACGTCTGAAACCAAGTCGCTCGGATATCGCTCTGATCGTCTGAAAGTGTCGCTTGTTCGCCTATTAGTACACCTGCCAGTAGTCGCTCTTAATTGTTTCAGATGTCCATCCTTTTCTGTACTTAATTCAAAATTTGCTCTTAGTCTGGTTCGGCGCGACTCCGTATACAACGCTTGTGTAGGTGCGCCAATACCACTGGAAACAATGTATGGCGTGTATAATGTTTCGTCGTCATTTCTGCTTGTCAATATAAATGAGAAATTTTAAAAATCTCCTGCCTGACCCCCGGAAAAGTTTCTGGATCCGCCCCTGGCCCTGCAAAGTGGAGTACACTGACAATTTACATAAGGGATTACCACTACAAGTTGCGAATAAAGATACCGCGTCGAAATCTACCCTCGCCACACACCCAGCCCCATCCCTCACCCACCGTGATGACAGCAGTTAGCCAGCCAGCATGTACTGAGACTATTTCAGTTAGGGTCAGCTGTTGTTTGACTTCAAGGGCTGAAAAAACAAGAGTGATCGATAAAGCTTAACAAAGTAGGCCTAGTTTGTACTCACTTCAATGAGGCTTCCCTGGAAAACTAGGTTTTTCGTGATTGGTATGATCTCTGGGTGATACCCAGTTTAAAGGTGTCCGTACGGATTCAAAGTAGTTGGGTTGAACATGTATTTTTCATTCCTCCATGGGCTGAATCTCAGCTGTGTCAGCTGTATAATATCATAACCCCCAACAAACACAGAAACAAACACCCCAACAACCCAACTTACTAACTAACTAACTGTACTTCTACTGCACTCCAACGACTGCAGGTTTAAGCATCACGACCACCTGTTTGGCATTGATCACAATTTTATATCGTTTGTTACACAGGACAGAAAATCCCATTGAATGGAACAGAACGGTAATTTTTACAACTTGTGGAACTGCTTGTTGTGCTCTATGCGGCAGTTGATGACAAGACGTTCATTTTGCCAACTTGATTGGCCGCAGCATGCGTAAGATGGGCCCATCATAAGGTTTTCACCACGGCATCCCCCCAAGTTACAACAGATAGCGTCTGTGCTTTAATTATGGTGTACTATTTACGACGAACATTTCTCTCTCTTTCTTGCCTCCCTCCAGGCCGCGCCGCCGCAACTACACAACGCAACGGCTCCCTTGCGTCGTGCCAACGGTGCGACGCGACGGAAGGGGCGACGTTTAGGCAGAAAAAAATGCAACAAGGGAAGGACGTATCTAAAATAGCACGACACGACAGGCGACGGTCCAACTGGACGTCGCGTCTTGTCGTGCATCGCGTCGCCTATTCTAGGCGACGCGTCGCATCGTCCCTCAGGCGCCTTAAGCACGATGGCGCGTCGTGTGCTGTCGCCATTTGCTTCATGGTGTTTATAGAGGGCGCCTTTACTGTTTTCTTTCATTTCCTTCCCCTGGCCCGTACTTGCACAGTACATGCCATAGGTACCAGGCCTTAATTCTGTTGTTCTTTTTCGTGCATTCTTTCCAACTTCGTGTTTTCATTAAGAGTTATTTGTTGAAGAAAAGGGTTTTTTCTAACAAAATGTAATCAGAAAGAGCTTTGCGATCAATCAGCATTGTCATCAACGTCAGCCACAACAATGTTTTAGCTTTTCCTGCTCTGATATGTGCAATTCATATTAGTGCGCCTCTAAGAGTTTCCAACGCGTTGGCCAGTCACAACGCGCGAAATTTGTCGACCCTTTCCAAACGGGCATTGGGTGGCATTGTGATCGGCCAACCTGTTGCAAACTCTTAGAGTCGCTCCATTGTGAAACGCCCGTATTCCGATCTTTATAACAAATATGATTATTTATCATTACTACCTGCTTGCTAATGTAACATGCGGATCTGATGATAAATTATTTGCGTGGCCAAACAGAGTTGAAGAAAAGACACCGTTACAATGATAATAGGGTCGACAAGGTTTTATTCCGAAAAACGGACTAATATCACTGACAGTGTGGTGCTGATGAAGTTAACGAGGAAGACTGGCCTGAAAAAAGACTGAATATTCTGAGGGTAATAACATACAGCAGGCTGGGTGGTAACTTCCTAAACCTCTGGTCAATCTTGCAGCGGTACAATTGTAGACAAATTGTCTGGAGGAGTGGGAGAACTACTTGGAAACTGCTGGCATGGACCACAGAGAAATATTTATAAGGTTACAAATCTATTACAAATGGGAACTTCATCAACGGTCTTAAAAAGTAATTGGACGGAAATCCGAACAAGGATCGCTGGGTAAACGAATTCTGGGCTTACATTTATTATGTGAGAGCAATTTCTTTATTGTGCAGATTTTTCTATTTGCTCCTTTTTCATTTTTTCAATAAAATATGACAGAAATTAATCGTAACTGAGGAATGGATGAGATAAAAACAAGAAAAAATCAACACCAAAGAGCGAATAGCATGTACTTTGCAAGTACGGGGGACGGAAATGAAAGAAAACAGTAAAGGCGCCCTCACCATGGCTGGGTTCGGGCGGCTTGTTCTCTTATGTTCATGAACAGCTCGATATGTTATTCGTGGGTTGACCGCTCGAACGCCGGGAAAGTAAAACTGGTTATCGCTGGTAGTAGTACTACAAGAAAAATGGCGGCGTCCGTTACGTTCTTCGAGGGTTAATGCTTGGAAAACTGGGCTGAATTCTTTTCTATGTAAAAAGGAACATTCATTTCTGTGCTGTGGAAAATTATTATTGTTCATTTTGCAAAATTCCCCATTGTCACCGGCTTTGTAAACCATCTCGCTATTTCTTACGGCTGTTCAAAAATCAAAATTTCACGAGTTGTTCCGTGTGTTCATGTAAATCTTAACGAGGACATGTTGTGTGATCCTGTTCCGAGAACAGTGTCCTTGAGTCGTGTTCCCATCGTTCGAGCGCAAGAACAAGAAACCCGTGTCAAGAACAGGCCGCCCGAACTCAACCCATGAAGCAAAGGGCGACAGCACACGACGTGTCGGGACGTGCGTCGGCTCGTACTTCAGGCGACGTAATAGGCGACGCGACGGGCAACGGAAGGGAGGTTAAAGAAAGAGAGAAATGTGTGTTGTAAATAATACACCATAAAACAGTGATGATATCAATGATTGTGTAGAGGATTATTTCGCAAGTGGACGACAAAGCGATTTTTCTATTATTTTTTCACATTTCTATGGAATTCCATATCTGCCGTCGTGCGTCGTCCGTCGTCCGTCGTGCGTCGCCCGTCGTGCGTCGTCCGTCGTGCGTCGCCCGTCGTGCGTCGTCCGTCGTGCGTCGCCCGTCGTGCGTCGCCCGTCGTGCGTNAACCAACCCCTCAACCTACCGAGCCCCTTAACAGCACACGCACCACTCGGACTTGGGCACAGTCTAGGCTAGGTGACTTTAACCCTTGCACAGGATTCTCGACCCTTACCTCAGGATCAGCCCTTTATCAGGACGACTAGTTCTAGCCTAGCCTAGCGCCTACGCGCGCCTTTTATAGCTTTCGCGCTGCTCTGACCACGCCCGCGCACGCGCTCACGTGACTAAGCAGTGACTTCCGCTGCCCTATCGCACAATGCACAAGGCGGAGCCTATGCGCCGCGCTTGCTTAACACACAGCTATGCGCGCCTAACATCTGCCTCTGTTACTGGGCAGAGCGCCATCTATATCTTTGCACCGCGCCTAGTGACTAGCGCCCTCTGTCACGTCACAATACTACAAGAAAAATGGCTGCGTCCGTTACGTTCTTCGAGGGTTAATTCTTGGATAACTGGGCTGAATTCTTTTCTATCTAAAAGGGAACATTCATTTCTGTGCAGTGGGAAATTATTATTGTTCATTTTGCAAAATTTCCCGTTGTCATCGGCTTTGTAAACCATCTCGCTATTTCTTACGGCTGTTCAAAAATCAAAATCTCACGAGTTGTTCCGTGTGTTCCTGTAAATCTTAACGAGGACATGTTGTGTGATCCTGTTCCGAGAACAGTGTCCTTGAGTCGTGTTCCCATCGTTCGTGCGCAAGAACAAGAAACCCGTGTCAAGAACAGGCCGTCCGAACTCAACCCATGAAGCAAAGGGCGACAGCACACGACGTGTCGGGACGTGTGTCGGGACAAGCGTTGCGTCGTACTTCAGGCGACGTAATAGGCGACGCGACGGGCAACGGAAGGGAGGTTAAAGAAAGAGAGAAATGTGTGTTGTAAATAATACACCATAAAAGAGTGATATCAATGATTGTGTAGAGGTTTATTTCACAAGTGGACGACAAATTTTTTCACATTTCTGTATGCTACCTTAAAGCCGGTTCATACTTGGCACGAAAGCAACACGCGAACGCAATTTTGTGAGGTTTGATCATTGTTTGAGTTCCGGAATTCGCAAATGTTGAACAATGTTATGGAATTCCACATCTGCCGTCGTGCGTCGCCCGTCGTGCGTCGTCCGTCGTCTGTGTTTTTTTTTGGTCACGATTGCGCAGTGATATTTTTAACTTTGACCCTTGATCGTTTCACATGTCCAGGTACTTGTTGGATCGATCCATCGTGCCTACTCTCATTTTTGCAGCAGAACTAGAAGATGTATTCGTTTTTACAGTTGCGCCGAACTCCACTTGAAAGAAGAAATAATATCCTTACATCGGTTAAGTGACGTGTATATGAAATAATGCCATTTTTTGTTACATAAAAAATAGACTTTTGTTAGGGTAGATTGTTTTTCTCGATAACTTAGTTACTCTAGACGTAACTTTACTCGTTAACGGCCTGACGTTAGGCCTATAGCCTATGTAATATTTCTGTCTGTCCCTGCACGATATCCCACAGAACGAAATGTAAATAATAAATTGATTCCTTAATAGTTATTTTGAGGGCGGGTATACCTATGATGAAATCTGCTGTATACTCCAAATTAGACATGACTTGAGTTGCAGGTAGGCTCACATAAGTCTTTTAAACAGTAACGTTACTTGTTAGCCCCATAAATAATGCTGATATGCTGGACAACCTGTTCTCATTGGTCTATCCACCATGGCATACACACCCACAAAAACTAACACGACACATTTTCTGAAACTTAAACCAAAGGGTAATTGCCCCCTAACAATACATCAAATAAACAGTTTGTTATCCACAGCACTGTCTAGTATTTTTGTATTTCAAGGTGAAATTGAGAGGACAAAATGGAATATCTGTATCGGTTGGTAGATTTCTTTCTAGAATTTGATAAAAACAAGTCAGCACATTTTTACAGTATGCAAATTAGAATTAAACTGTGGATAAGTTGGCCTGAACATTTTTACTGAAAATGTTTTTTCCCCCAAAAAACTTGGTTGAATTCTCAACGGGCAGGGGTACTCTAGCATTATAGGCATTAATTATGGGACTAGTATTGAAGGTGGGATTTGTACTTGCCTTATTGGGAAAAGATACTTACAAGTGAATTAAATCATCACATTGTCATTTGTTAAACCCCGGCTTTTGCAGGTCCCACGCAACGGGCGATGCACGACGGGCGATGGACGACGCGCGACGGGCGACGCGCAACGCACAACGGGCGACGGAAAATGGCATGTTTGGAACTGGTAAATGGCAGAAATGGGACACAACAAAAAGCAAAAGGCGTGGTTCGTGACTCCAAATCTAGATCAACTAAAATCCAAATCAGTATAAGAGCCCCAAGCTGGACCAACAGAGGCTACGATTTTCTAACCGAAAACAGGATTCTTTGGTGGAAATAGACGTAAATCATAATGACGTACCACAATGTTTATGGTGCACCGATGGTGCATTGTGGATG